TTTCCTGCCTAAGCAAGGGGTTGGACTAGAAGACCTCCAAGGTCCCATCCAACTCTGTTATTCTATTCTATTATTATATAAAAGTAAAAAGTTGAGGTTATATGTTATTACCTTATTCTACTGTACCAAAAGGAATTGGAAGTCACTGCTTTTATTTTGGAGGTGGGTGGGTGAAAGTGGCATGTGGATTTTGAATGTCCTCAACATGTTTCATTCTCCAAGCATGGATGCCAATGTGGGGGGAAGGATTGCCCAACCTCGGCCATTTTAAGACCACGCTGACTGGGGAATTCTGGGAGTTGAAGTCCACAGCAGGTCTTAAGATGACGGTGATTGGACACTCCAGGCATCAAGGTTGCATTCCGAAAGGGAAGGTCTTTGGTCTTCTGAAATGAAAGTTTACGTCACTAACTTTGGTTCTCTCGTTTCTCTGGAGCAGCTCAGAACCCAAGGACACCCCTTCACCGAGAAGAATAAGTTGGATGAGTTTTGTGAGCCCGACCAGGAGTTTCCTCCCTTCGTCGCCTCGCTCAGTGACAAGGAGAGGGTGGTCAACCTCTACAAGATCTTTGTCTATTTCAACGCTTCCTTGGACAACATCACCAAAGACCAAGAGAGCTTCGACAACTTTGATTCCAAAGAAGACTTGCTACGGAGGCTCAGAAATACCAACAACCACACGGCTGGCCTCCTCTCCAATCTCACGTGCCTGCTCTGCTCCAAGTACAAAGTCAACCACGTGGACGTGACCTATGGCAATCATTCCAGCACCGACATCTTTGAGAAAAAGCAGAAAGGTTGCCAGATACTCCGGAAATACACAAAGGTCATCCGGCATGCGGCACAAGCTTTGGGACATTGTCGTCACAAGCAGACATGATGCTGAACTGTCCACCCTGGTCCGATCCTCCTTCTCCTTCTCTTCCTCTTCTCCTCTTTCTCCTCCTCCTCCTCCTTCTTCATCATCATCTTCTCCTTCTCCTCCTCCTCCTTCTTCTCCTTCTTCATCATCATCTTCTCCTTCTTCTCCTTCTCCTCCTTCTCTTTCTTCATCATCTTCTCCTTCTTCTCCTCCTTCTTCTCCTTCTTCTTCATCATCATCTTCTTCTCCTTCTTCTCATCCTTCTCCTCCTCCTTCTTCTTCTCCTTCACCTTCTCCTACTATTTCCTATCTCCTATCTCCTTCTCTTTCTTCTGGACCTCCTTCTCATCTCCTCTTTTCATAAAGAAAAGAAGGAATCCCGCTGGAGACGGAGGACTTCTCCTGTAATTTCAACTTCTAGGCCACTAGCTTGTCTTGAAATTGTTTTTTCCACCCAGTTTAAGCGGTGGAAACACCAGAGTATTTATTTGCATCTCAGGGTTGTGTGACACACAAAAATCCGACCTCTCTGTCTGCTTCCCTATTTTATTTTATTTTATTCCTCTTAAAAGAGCCAGAGAGTCCAGCACCTTAACAAATACTTAAAGGACAATGAAAATCAAGGAGATGTACTTATGTAGAGATGTACGTATATCTAAATATAAACGAAGGTTGGGATGAAAGGATGAGAATTAACATTTTTCTGCTAACCGCAGGAATAATTTTAATAGCCCTTTTCTGCAGGGCGAAAAACCTTCCCAAAGCCTCAGGCATTTTGGAAATTGGACTATTCCTTGTTTAGCTGATGTCTAGTTTAATTTAATAATAGTTTAATAATAGTTTATTGGATGTATTTTCATGATAATATCTAATGTTATTATTTTATTGTTCTGTATTAGAGATATTGTTGGTTGTGTCTGTACACCCACACACAACCACACATATAGTTTACTGCTGGCTAGTTTGAAAAGCTAGTCTTGTGGCTGCCAGAATCCATCCCTTAAAAAAAGATATTTTTTTTACAGTGTTGGGTGACACATTTTTGAATTGTTTGGGGCTCAAATGATCATTTCCCCAAAAAATCAAAACGATTGTCACCAACATTCAATTGGAGAGCTGTCCTCTCCTCATGGGACCTTGTTCTCAAACCGTGACATTTGTAACCCTCAGCTTCCCTTCCCTAAAGGTGCATTTTCAAGGGGACACTGGACTTCGTTTTCCCACGAAGACCTTTCGCTTCTCCTCCAAGAAGCTCCTTCCGTTCTGACTGAAGGGCTGGGAAACGGAAGATCCTCTGGTTGTTAGTACTCTCTCTGAGAGCCACTGAAGGTATTAGGAGGTTTTCCTGTGCCCTGAGTAGTGCAAAGGGGTGCGGAGCCTTCTTGGGACTGTTGAAAGGACTGTGTTGAAGACTAAACACAGATGAGGTCCTGTCCCTCCCCCTCTGTTGAGGGAGGGCTGTTCAATTTTAACGTGAATGGCCTCCTTTCAAACCAGTGGTCCTCTCTGTCCAGAATGTGCTGAGAAACGAGACATCTTCAAGTCCAGTTGCCACTTGAAAAAGCATCTTTGGGACACAGCCGTGACCTGGATGATGGAGAATCTCCAGGAACACTTGGCTTCCTTCACTACTGGCCATGATAGCTGAGTCCAGCATACTTGGAAATTCAGAATTCCTATCTGGTCCAGGAGCTGAACGGTAGAAGCCACTTTGGTTGCCAACCAACTAAGTGCCTTCTTAGATTTCTCTTTCCCAGCCGCACACACATATTTTATGATAAATAACAGTGCCGATCTACCTCACAGGACTGTTGTGGAAATGATCGAAAATGCTTTGAATGTTCTACTATTATTTATTATCTCTCTCTTTAAAAAAAAAAAAAGCAATATTCCGAGACTTCTCTCCGGTTCGAAGAGGGTTTTTTTGTCTTTCAGTATTTTGCCTGCAAATTTTTATGTAAAGAATGTTGTTTTAAACTATGCCTAAGCGTGCACTAAAATTGAGAGAGGGAGAAGGGGGGGAGGAGAGAGAAAGAGAGAGAGAGAGAGAGAGAGAGAGAGAGAGAGAGAGAGATGGAAAGAAAAGGTGCAATAATTCCAAATTTTGAGGGATAGAATAATCCCAGCTAACCCTAATTCTAACCCCAGCCCCAGCACAAAAAGGGAAACTGTAGAAAAGCAGAGCAAAATTGTAATGGAAAAATGAATTTTTTTTTCAAGCGAACTGGTGGATTCTGGATGAAATGAATGCATTGATTCCATTCCATGCAATTTCACCTTTAAATAGGTTGGCTGTGTACTTAAACAGCTTCTAATCTATAGTTTGGATGCATTCACAAACCATGTTTGGCCTTTAGGACCAAATTCACCATTTTTTTCTAGCTTTGCACAAGACCTGGGGCTGTCTGAAATTAAAACCCGGCTGCATGGTGGGCCACCAGAGAAAACCAAAACTAGCCAGGATATAAAATCCAATGGTGGTTTAGTATGTTGTATGAATGCAGCCCCCGGATTGGTAACTGACATGGTTAATCAGGTGGTGAGGACACAGTTTCCTGGGCTCCCTCACTACTGAGAATTTAGTTTGCTTGAACTCCTGGGACCTTCTTAGGATAACCCAAGATACAAATGACAAAAGAAGTACTTTTAAAAACAAACAGATAAATAGATAAATAGTTTTTTTTTTCAAAGGTGGTACCTTGGTTGGTTCTGCAATAACTACCCTGTTTCCCTGAAAATGAGACCGTTTCGGGGTTTGAAAGAAAATAAGACCCTATTCTTATTTTCGGGGAAACGTGGGTAGTCCTTTTGAAAACTTCACTTTTTAAAACTGTTTGGCATAGATTCCTGGTCCAACTCCTTCTCTCCAAATGGAGATGTTTTTCTTTTTTAAGGCTAAGAGGTTTACCCCTCTTTCTTCTCCGCTTCTTCGACCTTCTCACTATCCAAGCCTCTTAGATGGATGGTTGAGAAGGCCAAAACTTTCTAACCTTGGAAAGAGCCAGCTGTAAAAACCTGGCGGAACCTTCGCCCCGATAATTATCCCATCGTTGGAGTTCTGGAGATGGCAGGGAGATGAGGAAGATATATTAGGAAGGAACCAGGGTCAGATTCAACCTGAATGGGCTGAGATCTTCCACCGACTTCCTAAACTTAAAAGAAAAGATGATTGTGCCTTAGAATTTAAATGGAATGTATTTTGTCCGAAATTTGGGACTTACGTTTTTTGGGAGCTTCCGCACTAGAATATTCTTAGACTCTTGTTTGTTGTTCTTGATGATGTTAATAATAATAATAATAATTAATAATATTATTAATAATAATATATTTATTTTGGGCCAAGGCAAGAGGATTCTCACTTTTGACTGAAAGTGGTGCCAAGCAAAGATGTGTTTGGAGCCAGCTCTCATGTTTTATGCGACTGTGTGAAAAATTATGAATCCTTCAATGGCGTAAATCTTTTTATATTTTTATACGTTGGATTTTATATGCATTTTATAAAATAAATTGTATTTAATAAAAATAAAAGCCTCCTCAGATTCTTATTGTGATTTCTCAGTCTTCTGGATGTCTGCGATAGTATTTAGATTTTCTTTTTCTCCTCTCTATCAAGTTGAGCTCCTCCAGATGTAAAGTTATTTGTTCAATGTTTCATAACTTCAAATAATTGCTACACGGACCTAGAAACCAAAATTGCCTATACATAGCAATAGCAATAGCAATAGCAGTTAGACTTATATACCGCTCCATAGGCCTTTCAGCCCTCTCTAAGCGGTTTACAGAGTCAGCATATTGCCCCCAACAANGAAAAATGTGGCATGGCCTTATTATCAGGACATGTTGTATTTTCAGGGAAACACAGTAAGTAGCTGGCATTGTGTACAGAAATACCTGCACACTACATGGACCAGACCTCCTGAGTCCAGGTGGGAGATTCCATAGAAGGTGGAGAATAACAAAGCTAAATTCTTGGGGGACTTTCAGAAGAAAACGGGTAGGCAGATACTGATCAATCAGACACTGTGGTAGTAGTAAACACTAGTGGTATTAGTAAATATTGTGGTGACAAGTGACAACAACATAAGTAATAAGAAATATGAGAAGCTGGAGAGATACCAGGTTTTTAAAGGAGGAACTAGAGAAGATGTGGAAAGTAAGGCTAAAGTAGTCCCAACGATCAATTTTGATTTCACCAATTTGATTTCAATATACTGCTACATAGACCTTGTATTTGCAAACCAGGTAAAGCAGAATTCATGTTTATTTATTAACTTTCTTTTCAAACACTCAGTATACTTACTAGCAATATTAATCATTTCAACATTGGGAGTCCACATTCCCTAACTTTCCAAAAGGAGAATATAAGAAATTAGTATAAATTAGCATACAAAATCAATATTCAAACCAACTGAATAAATAAACAAATGATTCAACTTTGCCAATGCATACAGCTTTACTCCGATATTTTATTCTGAATCTGTAGAAGAATCAGTGTATTGGGAAAAAAGAACTAACTGACCTCTCAAAGATGATAGGGTTCTTTTTTTAAAAAAAGGGTAAAAAAGAACAGATTTCCATTTATGGACTGTAGAAATCCTGCATTCCAATTGGCCTAGCCAGCCCAGTGGCAAATTTTTTGTAGTGATAAGGCTTGAAACAGGAAGCCATGAGAGGTCAGGAAGGAAGTACTATCAGGCCAGAAAGAACTATTGCAAAGTGATGGGAGCAGGACAGGTTCTTGTATTCAGGCTGCAGAACAACTGAATCTATTTTTTTTAAAGATAAGCAGAGTTACGAGTCAAAATCTGCACAGCTGTTCTCATTGAAAATGTATCTCCTCCCCAGTTTTCTTGTTTTGCCTGTGTGGGCTTTGCCAAGACTGCCGCAAAAACATCGCTTCTCCACCGCCAGCTCTAGGAAGCAAAGCTCCTTGTTTATAGCAATTCAAGTTGACCTTGACCATATTGAAGGAAATGGATTTAATACAAAAAATGCTCCCATTATGCCATAGCTAAAAA